ATATTTTTCTTCTAGAAATATGTGAAAAGATGATTTTTACTTGCTTTACCATCAATAACTGGTATTTTCATTCCTTTTATTCCCCCCATCTTACTGTGTAATGTGCTATTTTATTATCTTAATTGGCATTTTCCCATCAGTAAGCAAATTTTCATGTGCATATTTGGCACCTGGGATTTGTGTTGGATGAATTGCCTGTTTGTGATCTGCACGAATTTTTCTCTTGAGCGTACTGCATGCTGAACCCACACTTCTTGTCAATCTTCACCAACTCTGTGACTGTGATAAGTAGATGTTTATCTGCTGAACACCCTGCAAATCTTCCCCCCAATCTGCTTATCTGCTGACATCAAGATGGCTTCTATTTTTAAATTTTTATTGAATTAACCTTGGTTTATAACATATATAGATTTCAGGTGCACAGTATTATCATTCAACATCTGTGGGTGATCATGGCCACCACCAAAAGACTAGTTTCCATCCATGACTGCGCAACTCACCCCTTTGGCCCAGTTTACTACCCTTCCTCCTTCCCTCTGGTGACTGCCATTTTGTTCTTATAGTCTGACAGTTTGTTTTGTTTGTTCATTTGTTTTATTTCTTGATGTCCCACATATGAGTAAAGTCAGACGGTGTTTGTCTCACTTATTTCACTAAGCATCATACCCTCAAGGTCTATTCATGTTGTCACAGATGGCAACACTTCATCTGTTTTCTCTTTTAAATAGCTGAGAGGCATTCGATTATATTCACATGTCTTCTTTTTCTTTATTCACTGGCAATGGACCCTTACTTCCAAATCTTGGCTACTGAAAAAGTAACGCTCCATGAACACTGGGGGGTATGTATATTTTCAAATTAACCTTGGTTTATAATGTTATATAGATTTCAGGTGCACAGTATTATCATTCAACATCTGTGTGTCATCATGGCCAGCACTAAAAGACTGGTTTCCATCCATGACCAAGTGTCTTTGTATTCTTTGGGCAAATACCCAGAAGTGGATGAGCTGGGTTGTACGGTATTTCTGTCCTTACTTGCCATACTTTTCCCCATATGCCTGCACTGGTTGCCACCCACTGTGTACAAGGGTCCCCCTCGCTCCACATCCTCACCAACACTTGTTGTTTCTTGTCCTTTTGGATAACAGACCTTCTTACAGGTATGAGGTGACAGTTCATGGTGGTTTTGATTTGTATTTTCCTAAAATTATGTGACGATAAAAGTTTTCGAGGTGCCTGTTGGCCATCTGTGCATCTTCTTTGGATAAGTGTCAGAATCACTGTCCGTTTTAAATTAGGTTGCTCCTTTTTCTGTCGTTGAGTTGTATGAGCTCCTTATATATTTTGGGTGTTGACCCCTTGTCAGATAGATGATTGACAAATATCTTCTGGTCTGGAGGTTACTCTGAGGCAAATTTCTTTTTCTCCGAAGAAGCATTTTAGTTTGGCTTAGTCTCATTTGTTTATTTTTGCTTGTGTTTCCCTGGCCGTTGGCGTCCACAACAACATCACTAAGGCTGATGTCAAGGCCTAATGCCTTAATTTCCTTCTCTGTATCTTCTGGCTTCCAAGCTTACAGTCAGGACTTTAATCCCTTTTGAATTAATTTTTGTGTATGTTGTCAGCCAGGGGTCTACTTTCATTCTTTTGCCTGAACCTGTCCAGTCTTCCCAGCACCACTGAAGGCTTCCCTTGCTCCATTGTATGCTCTTGGAGCCTTTGTCATAAGTTAGTTGTCCATATACGCCGGGGTATATTTCTGGGATCTCAGTTCTATTCATTGATCTAGGTATCTGTTTTTAAATACCATGCTGTTTTGATAACTACAGCTCTGTGTTCTATTATGACATCAGAGAGCATGATACCTCCATCTTTACTATTTTCCCATGGTTATTTTAGCTATTCAGGTCTTCTGCGGATAAAATTGATTTATTGGAAATAAATTTTAAGATTTTTTTTCTCTATCTCTGTAAAGAATGTCATTAGAATTTTGATAAGTGTTGCACTGAATCTGTGCTTTAGGTAACAGGCCCACTGTCATGCTGTTATTCTTCCAATCCATGAGCCCGACATCTCTCCTGGGCTTTGTGTCACCTATTTCTTTCAGTGATGTCTCATAGTTTTCAGTGTCTATGTCTTGAACCTCCTTGATAAAGCTTATTCCTAGATATTTTATTCTTTTAGATGTGATTGTGAATAGAAAGTCTTGATTTCTCTTCTGCTAGCTCATTGTTTTTCTGTAGATATGCAACAGATTTTTGTGATTTTGTAGCCTGCCACTTTACTATATTTGTTTATTATTTCCAACAATTTTTTTTTAGTGGAGTCTTTATAGTTCTCTGTGTAGTTATCATGTCATCTGCAAATTGTGATAGTTTTACTTCTTCCTTTACAACTGGATACCATTTATTTCCTTTTCTCACCTAAACACTCTGGCTAGTACTTCTAATACTACCTGAAAAACAGTGATAAGAGTGAAAATCTTTGTCTTGTCCCTGATCTTAGAAGAATATGGTATTAGTTGTGGATTTGTCATATATGACTTTTATTATGTTGAGGTATGCCCTTTAAACTCATTTTATTGAGTTTTTTAAATCATAATTAGATATTGAGCCTTGTCAAAACTTTTTCTGCATCTATTGATATGATCATCAGATTTTTATCTTTCCTCTTTTTGGTGTAGATTGTCACATTAGTTGATTTACATATGTTGAACTATCATAGGGGTTTCTTTTACCAGATCATATCTTTAATGTTTATGAATTTGTCTTGTTACAAATATATCTTTTTGTTCTCTCTAAACTTCAATGTATTCTGTCTTTATTAATTGTTATTTCCAAACTCTGGGTTATATGTACAGGTTCCGAGATTTTCTTCCAATTAACCTTTGAACATTGTTTATATTTTTCTTCAGTATATGGGATTTGTTTTTTAATATGTTGTGAGGTAGAAATCCAATAGTACTTTCTTCTAAATAGATAGCCATTTGCCCATTCCCATTTATTAAAATAAACCATCAATTCCCCGCCGAATTAAAATGCCACCTTCTCCATATCTGCAGGTTCCATGTGTTCTAACATCTGTTTGCTGGTTTGTTATCTGCCAGTAGACCACATACCTACTCCGGTTCCAATTTCATGCTATTTTGACGACAGCCTTCTTGCTCATACTTAAAAAGTTAGGTTAAAACTTCACTCAGTCATGTAAAATTTCAGATAATTTTACCCATTTAAAAACTGACATAATTACTGAAAGTAATAATGCCCAAAGTACATTTTACTTATATTTGGAACAAAAATGAAGTCATAATCAAGAAAGCATAAAGATAAAAAAAATTACAAGACAATACTGTGTAAAACTTTACGGCATCAAGTGAATTTCAGTATTTTTCGTTCTATTTCTGTGAAGAATATAGCGGAAAGATCTCCTGTAAATTATATAAATCACCAAAATGGCATAAGGAGGGGGACACACAGATTGGAATGGACCACTTTCCACTGAAGACATTGAAAACCTATTTAAAGATCTGCTATTTAAAAGGACCTCAGGCACAGAGGACCCACAGCCCAGTTCTGGCCTTTAAAGAACAAATAATCCCGATGTTAATCAATTATTCAGACCTTAGGAAAAAAGACAAGCGCCTCCATAGATGTTATGACACCAGTGCCGTCGTAATGCTGACTCCTAGATGAGCCCCTCTTGGGCCTACAGATCCCATCAGCGCACTCACGTTAACACAGACAATCAGGAAACATCCAATAAGGAAACGTCCGTCCTGAGGGAGACTAGAGAGTCGCCTGATAAAACCCAGCAGCTGCTCCTAGTACAAAGCCATAACCCACCCCTCGTCCAAAATTCTGGGACGAAAGCCTCTGAACGCTGAACTGTCCCGGGCATCAGCGCTCAGTTTCATCTGGTGTTAAACTTGCTCTGAACTGGCAGAAAGTAGCTGGATGCCCAAAGGACTGTTCTTTGCAGATGTCACCGTGACTTCTCTGTGTGCCCCAAATACGTGGAGACGAATCGTCCCCGACTGGGCTGCACTCAAACGACGACGGCCTTTCTTTTGCTGAGGTGGGCCTGGAAGAAGGCGCGTGAGGCGGGTGTTTCCAGGGCTGTGGAAGAGCCGTCCTGCCTTCACTGGATCCAACGCACAGAGAGAGCCGATGGCTGCTCCCGGCCGCTCCACACCAGCACTCAGGCCCTTTCTTCCGGGGAGGCCGCGCGTGGCCGGCGCTGCGGGGCCCGGCCTGCGGTCAGCCCGGCCTCCGGAGCTGGCGCTGCCTTGGTGCATCGCCTGGCATGAACCCGCTATTTCACCTGCCCAACCTCAGTCCCGGGACAGCGATCACCCCCTTCTCTTCCCGCTGGGAAGGCTGATTGGAGACGGGCCCTGTCGAATGGAGGGCCGAGGGTGAGGCAACCTGCATGGCTGCCCGGGGGCCAGGGTGTGGTGACAAGGTCGTCCCGGGCTTCTCCCCACATCCAGGTCCTTGACCTTCTTCTCTCGCCTCTGGCCTCTGGAGGAGATGCCGCCATGACCAAGAAGCTGCCTGTGGCTTCCATGGCTGAGCTGGAAAGCACTCGGGGGTGTAGCACGAGCTGAGGGAGGAATCAGACTTTCCCAAGGGATCAAACCAATACTAAATCCCAGACCACCGTCCGGTGGTCAGGCTTTTCTCTGGGACGATGTACCACCTCACCCCCAGAGCCCCTGTCCCCAGGGACTGGGGCTCCCCCAGCTGCTTCTGGCCCTTTCCTTGGGCCAGACGATCTCCATGTCCAAATCCAGCCGCTTCTCCTCTTGGGCCACGTTTTCCTGTGCCAGGGAAAATACAGACGCCAGCTTGCCCCCCCCCCAATTCCCTCTCCTGCCTCCACTCTCACACCCTGAGCCTCGATGCCCCCCTTGCCACCCCTCTTGCTAAGCAGCCACTGGGCAGGGAGCTCCTCTGCTGGGGAGGGGCTGCTCCTGAGTGATCCGCTGTGTGCCCTCAGGCAGGATGGGCGTGGTGAGCAGCAAGAAGCAGGTCAAGGGGAAGGCAAAGGACCCCTGGAGCCCCGTGCCAGTTGGCGCCCAAAGCAAGGAGCCCCCGCCGCTGCCACCCCTGGTGAGTGATCCCAGCGCAGCTGCTGGGTGCCCCAACCCTCGTCTGCACAGCTGCAAATGGGCTTGGGAACAGTGTCCTGGGGCGGGTGCCCAGCGAGCGCAGGGACAGGTGGGCCACAGTGGGGGACAGGCGGGTCTGGGTCCCCACACGCTCCCAGAGCACCTGACATCACTTTCCTCTCCAGGGATGAGTCACCTAGAGCTGAGGGGCTTATCCCCAAGCCCCATAGATCGCCCGATTTAGGGAGAGCCTGTCACAAGGTCCTGGTGTGTTCCTAAACCTGTGTAGGGACTTCTTCCTGGCGGCTCGTGTCCTGCACCCCTGCCTGACCGCCTAGTCCTATTGGTTGGGGGGTTGGGGTGAGGCTGGAGCCCTCTCTCTAGCTCTCCTTCCCTTGGGGGGCAAATCAGCTGGTCATGGCTTTATTCTAAGGGTGACCTGCTGGGGGTGGGGATTGCTAACCCCACTTAGATAAACTAAGCAGTTCATCTATCTGTCTCTCAGTTTAGCACAGGGCTAAATTGCACAGTGGAATGTTTGTTGAATGAATAAATAATTTAATAGGGCAAATTCAAACTTGGATTGAGTAGTGGCCCCCAAATCATCGGCTAGTAAGTAGCAGAGCTTGGAATCTTTTAACCTTTGTAACTTAAAAAAAAAGTCACATGTTTATCAATTATGCAAAAAGCGCACGGTCCATGCTCATTATCCACTGCCCCAGGGTACCGGGGCTGAGCTCTTCAGAGCTCCTGCCTCAGACACTTTGCATTATTTATACTGCGTTTATATTTTTGATGGAGTCCAGCTCTGCATACCGTTTTGCAGAATGCTATTTTAAAACCGCATTCAACAAATATGGAATAAAAAAATGTAACACTGTATGTCAAGTTAACAGAAGAATAAAATGAGCCCCGATGCCGTCCCTTCTCATTGCCAGAGGGGAGGGTGGTGGGTCCCACTGAGACTCCCTGCTGCGCCCCTCCTCCCTCCACACACCCCGAATGTGCTTCTGCCTCCTTAACTTGCTTTTCTGGATTTATTCCTGAGCAGTGTTCACTTTCATTTTGCACGTTGTGACCTTGAGCTCAGGTGACTGGACGCACGTGTGTCAAGACAGGGCTTGGCCCCGCGGGCTCCTTCCCACCTGCAGCCCCGTGGGGTGTCTCTGCACTGCCGCCGCCTCTGTCCCTCTGCATGGTCCGCAGGTTGAGCCCCACCCGTTAACAATCCTGGGGCCTCATATTTACCAGCCCTGAGCATCTTGTCCATGTGTCTTGATGCAAATGCCCAGCCGTTTCTCTGAGGACTACCCTGGAAATAGTCTTTTAAATAACTTTCCTTAGGTAAATACTCTCTTGCAGCAGCAGAACCAGGGTGTAGCCAGGTGTTCACACCTGGGCTCTTGTGGACGGTGAAGCCCCTCCAGCCCTGTGCGCATGGTCAGGGCGGTCCCGGGGGTCTGCGAGGTGGTGCTGGTAGCAAGGGAGATGCAGCAGCCCGTGGGGGATTTACCTGTGCAATCTCCAAAGACCCGTGCCCCAGACCCAGCCTGGGCCAGGCCTCGGGTCTCAAATGTGTTTCTGACCCAGGTCCTGTTTAATCACCTGACTCCTGCCCCTGCCGACCAACACCTGGACCAAGGTAAGATGGGGCTGCTGGAGCCTCTCGGGCCTTCCCGGCCCTCCCTGCAGTCCCCGGGGTCCTGCGGGGTGGAAAGAAGGTGCTCGGAGGGCAGGCTGAGGGAGGGGCAGGCTGGCCTGCGGCCCTGCCCTGCCGGGGTCCTTGCCCAGGACCAAGGGTTCCCTCAAAGAACTGGAGTCGGGTGGGGTTTTTAAAAGAGGGTTTCCAAACTCCAACGAGGACAAAAGGAAGAGAACTATGAGAAATCCAGGCAGCCCTTCAGATTCAGCCCCCAGCCTGAGGGGCAGCCTGGCTGGGCGCCCTCCGCCCTGTGTCTCGTTCCCCACGTTCCCAGCCCCCTCATCACCCATGCGCCCTCCAGCCCTCAGAGCAGAGCGGAAACGTGCCGTGACCCCGGCCTTCCTCAGTCGGGGCTCAGACCTGGAGGCCTCGTTAGGAGAGCAGAGCCCCTGGCTTCCCACCCACTTCCATGCAACCCCCGGGAAGGCGCCTGGGCCAGGCAGGGTCAGGAACTCACTCCCCAGTGAGCACTGAGCTGCACCCCAACTGTGGAGGGGGGGGCTGCAAAGATGAGTAAGAGGAGGCTCCTCCCACAAGCGCTCAGTCCCCCGGCTCCAGGTGCTGGGGCAGGTGCGTGGCCCACCCGGGGTCCCCCATCCTGCTGCAGGCCCCGCCCCAGTGTCCCTCGGCTCCCTGCCAGGGGTCCTGTGTCCAGAACAGAGGGCCGGCGGGGCGGACACGGGAACTGCCTCTGGCCCGAGCCCTGAAGTTTCAGACCCGAAAGGGGCCATTGTCCGCTCCCGCGATCCCTCCTCCGGCCCGGGGCAGACGACCAGCCCAGGCCACGCCGCGCTAGTGACCACCTGCGTCCCTCCCGCAGGAAACCCCGGGCTCTCCCTTTGGGCTTTCCCGGAGGCCTTGGCCCCCAGAGGTCTTGACCCCCAGAGCTCTGCGGCCCTATTGAGAGGTTCAGGCCAAGTCCCAGATCCTTCTTCTCACAGTCTCTGTTCTGGGAACCACCAGCACATAAGGGCGTCTCCAGCGGGGAGCCCGGGGAGCCCCCTGACTGTTACCGGTCGTAGCTTCAGCTGCCACACTGCAGGCCACTCCCCTCCCGGGGGCAGAGCCGGAAGGTTCTGGTGGGAAGGGGAGGAGAGTGGAGGCTCGGGGCCCCCAACGATGAGGGGTCAACATGGTCCCAAAAAGTGGGTCTGAGCCCCCCAGCCATGCGACTGAGCCTCTAGATCAAGTCCCTTACATGGTAGCCCTGTTCAGGCCTTAGGACTTGGACGCGGGGTGCAGAGGGAAGTGGGGGTGAACTCCACCCCAAGCCACAGCCTCTCTTTGCTGCTGGGTCTAGAGCCGCACTTCGTGGTTGCCCTGTATGACTACGCCACAGTCAGCGACCGGGACCTGCAGATGGTGAAGGGGGAGAAGCTGCAGATCCTGAACAAGTGAGCTTTGAGAAGGCTACCGGGGTCAGAGGCCATGGCAGGACGTCCCGGCCCCCGCCCAGCGTGCCTCCCTCCAGCCAGCACCCAGCCCAGGCACCCCACATTTCCTCAAACCCTCGTCATCCTCCTGGCGCCTGCCTTTCTAGCGTCTGTCTGAAGTGGTTTCCATTCGCAACTTTCAGCTCATCCTTCAAACCCACTTCTCATGCCACCTCCTCCATGCAGCCCTCCGGACGCCCACGGCACTTGCACCCTGCTCCGTCACAGCTCTGGGTTGGAGCTGGTCGTGTCCATACTTGTCTCCCTTGATGGACAAGATCTCTCTGGGGGTCTCTCGGGGGTCTTCCGCTTGTGTCTGTTTCTCCTTCTCAGAAACTCCTCCACAATCTGTTCTCACTCCAGCACGGGCCTTGTTCTGTGGCCCCAGGCTCTGCTTCCGCTCCCGACATCCCCTCAATGGCCTTGAGTGAAGCAGGGCCGAGCCCTGATCTTTGGACCATCCCTGGGCTTCTGCTTCCTTTCTTCAGCAGCCCTGCTCCTGTTGTGGGGGCTCCTTGTCCAGCCTGACTCGCCCACTCAATTCTCAACACGTCCTGCTGGTCCAGAGGAAGAGACCTCTGGGAAGGCCTCAGGCTGGTTGGGCTGCTGGACAACCTCTTTGCCAGAGGCCATGCCCTCTCTCTCCTCCCCAGGACAGGAGCACCTGTCAGAGGCCCAGCCACAGGGCAACAGCCCAGGCCACCACCACCACGCGCCAGTTCCCTGCACCCCCATCTCCCAGGGTGGCAGCGTCCCCGAGGGCTGGGAGTGCCCCGGCGAGATGCGGGTTTGAGCCCTTGCCCAGGCTGTTTTTCCTCCTCCCTGCAGCTCTGGAGACTGGTGGCTGGCCAAGTCCCTCGTCACAGGCAGAGAAGGCCTCGTGCCCAAAAACTATGTGGCCCAAGTGGAGACACTGGAAGTGGAGAAGTAAGTGGGTCAATGACGCCCCTTGGAGCAGAGGCAGGGAGCGCTGTCCAGGGGAGCAGGGAGGAGACACACAGAAGCCCAGCGCAATGCAGGAGAGGCCAGGGCTGGCGCTGGGGGACAGGCTGACCTGCCTCTCCTACAGCTGTGTGATGCTGGGAAGCCGCCCCCCGCCACTCCCCTGGCTCACCCCGCTCTCCGTGTTCCTCAGGGTGGCCTTGAAGCTAATGGGGAGGTGAGCACCCCCAGGTCCCTGTGGGCAGGGCTGACAGGGTGGTGGCTTAGAGGCTTAGCGTCAGCACCCCGCCCCCTACTTCCACACAGTGGGCCTGGGGCAGCCAGAGGCCAGGAATCCCCTCCCGTGAGTGCTGAGTCCCAGCACCCACGCTGCCAGGACAGGGGTGGCCTCAGGATGAGCGAGAGGTGGCCCGGCCCCTGGATGCTCAGCACCTCGAGCTCCAGAGCAGGGCGTTGGAACCCCGGGAGTGCCTCCTGCCCCCCACCCTCTTCCCGGCCTTCCTCACGGGCTGGCCCACCTGGAGGCATCCCAGTGCCCAGAGTCCCAGTAGTTTGTCCAATTCAGGCCTGACCCCAGGAGGGAAGGGGTCCAGTGCATTGTCCCAGGGCAGAGGCAAGAAAGCTCACGCAAATGCTGCTCGGCTCCCCTCCCGGTGAGTCCAGCTGGCGGAGCAGGAGGGAGGGCCTGCGCAAATACAAGAGCCTTGGCTCTGCTGTCCTGAGAACAGGGTTACGGGGGGCAAGGGGATGAAACTTGAGAGGGAGGTTTGGAGAAGGGTTCCAGGGGCTTGGCCGCCTGAGCCTGCCGGCCCCTCCAGGTGGTTCTTCAGATCCATCAGCCGCAAAGACGCCGAGAGGCAGCTGCTGGCCCCCATCAATAAGGTCGGCTCCTTCCTGATCAGAGAGAGCGAGACCACCAAAGGTGAGTGTGGGGCGCCCCGGCCGCCATCTGAGGCCCAGGGGGGGCCAGCCGGGAGCCCTAGCTCCCCCTGCTCGGTTTGAGGGTGCACAATCACACCTGGCTCCCGTGCCCTGGGTATTTAGAGCACTGACCCCGGGCTGGCCTGGCAGCCTCCAGGAAGGTGGGGGCAGGAATGGGGGGGAACTTGTGAAACCCAAGCATTTGGAGCTGACGGAGTCCTCAGTGAGTCACCAGCCTGCGCCTGCAGCCTCCGACCCTCGAGGGGCCCCGGCAGGTGTCCTCAGCATTAGGAAAGCTCATCTCAAAGCCCAGCGAGCCAGACACAGGCCCGAGATGGGGCGGAGGACCCAGAATTTGCGAGCCTGAGCCGATGGGCTTTGGAGGTGCCTTTAAGGAGAACACCAGATGGCAAGAAGGTCTCAGCAACAGGCCTGTGGACAAGCCTGCTGGGGCCCTCGCCCCCCTGGCAGGTCCCGGGGGCTGGAGCCAGGCACCACACAGGGTGCAGGGGGAGGCGGGTGGGGTGATGCAGCCAGCGGGCAGGCTGGGCGCACACCTCTCCATGTTACTTTGCAAATAGGGATGAGAGAGGGGCGCCAGCTAGGGGAGGTGGGGGGAGGAGGGTCAGAGACTCCTGATGAGGCTGGACAAGGGCGCAGGGCCTCACCCGGGGACGGAGGCGCCCGAGCCTGACCCCTGGTGGGGGAGGGCGGAACTGCACCGGCGGCCTGGGACGGTGGCCAACTAGCAGGTGACCCAGACAGGCTTCACCCCCAGCTGCGCCTCAGCTTCTTCATCTTCAGTGAAAGGGGGGGCGTCACATAGGACCCAGAGAGACAGGCACAGAAAGAAAAGTTCAGAGAAAGCACTTTCTCAGCTGGAAACGCTTGTCTCAAGTTGCTGTCAACCCTTGGCACCTGCTGCCTGGCAGCAGGCGAGCGCTAGCGCAGATGCCCAGATACGTAGATGTGTGTGTGCGTTTGAACAGAAGCAGCTAATATCTCCGCCCATGCACTGGGTGCGTGAGCCTCTGCCACGGCGTGGGGGAACCGCCAGCCTTTCCCGGGGCTGGGGGCGGTGGACATGACAGCAGGATGGACGGATGCGCCAAGCTTTCCAGCAGCCGCACATTTCTCTACATTCCCTGGCAAAGTGTCCCCCGGTGACCAGATGTCCAAGTGGGGGGACAGCCTGCTGGCCGCGAGCACCGTGTCCTGCCTGGCCCGTGCTTCCCGGTGGGCCTCTCCGGCAGGAATGTCAGACAGCGTCAGATGGGGCTGCCAGGGAGGGCCCCGAGGGTTGAGGTGGAGACAAATGGAAAGGTGACTCACGGTGGGGGTGGTGGAATGGGGCGCAGAGCAGAACTGGGGAGCTTTCATCCCAGGCCCTGACAGGAAGCCCAGCCCCAGCCTGGCTCCTGCTGCGGGACTTCTTCTCACCACGTGTCTTTCCTGCCCTCGAGGTTCCTTTTCGCTGTCTGTGAAGGACGTGACAGCCCAGGGGGAGGTCATCAAACACTACAAGATCCGCTCCCTGGACGAGGGGGGCTACTACATCTCCCCCCGGACCACCTTCCCCTCCCTGCAGGCGCTGGTGCAGCACTACTCCAGTAAGCAGCCCCTGGGGCGGGGCGAGGCGTGCCTCCTGTCCCTCCCATCGCTGAGACCCCAGATGCTGTAGATCGCGGGGGGCCATTCTGGTGGGGGGGGGGCTACCCCATAGCCGGGCCCAGGGAGCTGGCGACTCCCAGCATAATGAGTCACAGTGGCCCTCACCTCCAACCCCCAGCCACCAGCACGGGCCTCTTGGAGGCAGGAGCGTGTCCCCCGCAAGAGAGCTGGCCCGCGAGCCTGGCCTTCTCCCTGAAGGGCTGAGTGTGTGCGCGCCCTGGAGGGTGGGGGGCTGATAGCGGGTGGGGCCCGGCTGGGAATGAAGTGTCCCCAGTGAGAGATGCCCCCTGCGTGGTGACCCCCAGCCCGGCTTCCTTCACACAGAGAAAGGGGACGGTCTGTGCCAGAGACTGACGCAGCCCTGCGTGAGCCTGGCGCCTCAGAACCCCTGGGCCCAGGACGAGTGGGAGATCCCCCGCCAGACCCTGCAGCTGGTCAGGAAGCTGGGGTCCGGGCAGTTTGGCGAGGTCTGGATGGGTGAGTCAGGGCCTATGTCCTGAGAACGGAAGGTCTGGGTGCGGCCGTGGGCCCAGGGGGCTCGGGGGAGGTGGGGTGGAAGCCGACACCCCTTTACAGAGGAGGTGATGGAGCATGCGGGAGCGGGAATAGACTCCCCGGCCTGCCTGCCTGGTCCCCCCGGCTCCTCCTCTGCCCGGCACAGGCCTTGTGGGGCCGTGTGGGGCCCTGGCCTGTCCTGCCAGCATCTCTAGCCCTGGCCTGGCAGACACGAGCCTTATTTCCACGCTGGAGCTGCCGCTGGGGGAGGGCCTGGTTGTGGGGGGGTCGTGGGCGTGGTGGAGGTGACTGAGCGAAGGACAAAGGGCTCCACCCGGTCCTGGCGTGGGGCACGGAGGTGAAGCCGCCCCTCCCAGGGTCCAGTCTGGGGCTGAGCCGGGCCGGGCACCCGTCCCCCTTGGGTCGGGACAGGCCAGCAGGGGCCCGCCCCCCGTGGGTCAGGGAAGCTCCCGGACGCTGCTGCCGACCGAAGAGCCGCCTCCCCCCCACCTCCGCCCGCCTCAGGTTACTACAAAAACTGTGTGAAGGTGGCCGTCAAGACCCTGAAGGAGGGCACCATGTCCCCGGAGGCCTTCCTGGGTGAGGCCAACCTGATGAAGACGCTGCAGCACGAGAGGCTGGTCCGGCTCTACGCCGTGGTCACCAAGGAGCCCATCTACATCGTCACTGAGTACATGGCCCGAGGTGGGGCTCTCGTGCGGGATCGTGGGGGTCCAGGCTTGGGGCCGCGAAGGGGAGGCCGAGCAGCCGAGGGGCCCCCACAGGACACGCATCCCCTGGCGCCTCCTAGTCAGCGTCCTGGGGCTGGGGTGCCCCCGGGGGCAGGAGGGGAGGGTCGGGAGGAAGGCGGCTCCTCGCAGCCGTGTCCCAGGTTAGAAGCACCCACCTGCACCTCGGGGTGGCTGCTGCACCAGCGCTCTCTGGCACGGGCCGGGCCGGGGCGGGGGCAGATCGTGGCAGGTCGACAGGGCCTTGGTTGGCACCCAGAGTCGGACTCTGGCCCCAGCTGAGCAGCTGAGCTGTGGGGGACGCAGCACAAGCGAATGGAGCTCTCACGGCGCTGATGGACAGTCCACGGCGTGCCCAGCTTTCAGGGGGCCATGGGCTGGTCACCCCAGGCTCTGACCTCCCCCACCCTGGGCACACACTGCTTCCCGCAGGGGCCTAAGGTGCCAGGCCAGTGGTGTCATGAAAGGGCCACTGTGGGTCAGAGAGTAAGCTGGGGGTGCAATGTCTCCCCGCTGCCTCTTAGCTGCACCCCAGTTCTTAGGTGGCACCGTGGGACTGCATCTGTCCCCTCGGCAACCGGCCTCTCCATGTGGGAGTTTTCTTGCTCCCCTTGGGCCACAGAGGACAATCTCTGCCAACAAAGCCTGGGGAGGGGGACTTGGTGGGAAGCTGGGGTGACACTTTCAGGGAGCAGTTGTGCTCCTGGTGCTCAGCCTGTGACCTCAAATCCGGCTGAGCCCTGACTTCCTAGGGCCGGGGAGCTGGGAGTTGTCTGAGGCGCTGTGGGTGGGAATCTCTGCAGAGCAGGACTCCACGGGGGAGAAGACCCGTCCCCTGTTCCGTGAGCTTGAATGCCACCCTTTCCCTGCTCCAGGAGGGGGCAGCCCCCCAAGAGACTGAGCCAGCCAGGGTGGGGTCTTTTCACAGAAGTGCAGTTGCAACTTCTCTTCCCCAGGCTGCCTGCTGGACTTCTTGAAGACGGACGAGGGCAGCCGGCTGTCCCTCCCTCGGCTCATCGACATGTCGGCACAGGTGTGTGGCTGCTGAGCCCAGGGGGGACTGAGAGACACCCTCGCCCAGCTGTGGCCCCAGAGCCTCCTCCAGGCCCCTAGACCCTCCCTCTAGGCCCCCAGGCCCCCTTTCCATGTCCCTAGACCCTCCCTCTAGACCCCAGACCACTGCCCCTGGCCCTGTGGCTTAACAAAGTCCACTGTTCAGAGGTTGCCCCCTAAGGCATGGCCTGGATGGTGAAGGACAGAACCCACAACAGTAATAGTTTCCATGTGAGACCAGGCAGAGGGCAGCCTGGCGGGGGGCCGGTGTGGCTGCCCCCGGGGTCGCCCTGCGTGTCACTCCTCCCCTGCGGGCACCTTCCTGTGTCTTCCTACGGTCCTGGAGAGATGCTCAGGCATGGCTGTCCTTCCCTCCTCAACACGTGCAGGAAGAAGGAAGGGGAATAAACCTGCCTTCCTCCCTTAGAGCAAGTCCCCGAAGTCACCCACTGCGCTTGCCCTTAGGGCCCCTGGCCAGACCCCACGGCCATGCCTAGCTGCAGGGGAGCCGGGGGCTGTGCTCTGCTCTGGGGTCATGTTGGATGAGCTGCTTCTCTGTAACACCAGGGGAGGGAGGGAGGGAGGACCAGGGGGGACCAGGGCATCATCATGACCCCATCTGACACGGCAGGCAGGGGTGTCGGGTTGTGACATCATTTCTTCCTGAGACGGTGCCCACAAGTACTTTGTGTGGCAGTGACTGAGGAGGCCCATCCCACCCCAGGAACCCTAAGTCCTCATGAAGCCCTGGGGTGGCCCTGGCTAACGGACAGACATGAGCCTCAAGCAGGGCACAGACAGAGTCTCCGCTCAGCCCTGGGGAGCCCCCTCCCCTACACTGGGTACCGCAATCGCCAGACCTCAGCTGCCCCTGCACGGGTCCTCGGTGGCCCAGGGTTCTCATGCAGAACTTTCCAGACTGGGTGAAGAGCAAAATGGAGAGGAAGAATCTTTCCTCCCAGGATTTTAGCTGAGGCAGGAAAACACAACTGTCTGTTAGAGCAGGACTCTCAGCAGAAAACCTCGGTTCTGTGGTCAGCCCGCGACACGCGCGCGCGCGCACACACACACACACACACACATCCGTTGCAGAGGGGAAAACTCCCCGGCCCCCCTCCCGCCCCGCCTGGCGCTATCTGCTGTGAGCATCGGCAGGAACTGATGTCCCCACACCTTTTTCCACTGAGGTGAGGGCAGCTGGTTCGAGCAGGCTGTGACAACGTCGCCGACATTCCTGCCGCGACCGGTTTCAAACCACAGACCACGACACGCCTGCTCACACTTCCCCCCTCCCTCATCCTCCTGCCTCTTTGCTCTCCCAGGACCAGCCCTTGGGACATATTGGGGTGACCGAGAGGCGCAGGATGAGGAGGCCCCCGAGTGGCGCCAGGTGTGGTGGGATGAGGGGAAGGCAGCCCGAAAGTCAGAGCTTCCCGCTGAACAGCTGCCAGACCCCGCTCTCGCCACGCCTGTGCCTCCAGGGCATGCAGGCACACACGCGTGCACGCACAAGGGTGCACACTCACATCTCGGTAGTGCACACAGGCATGTGCAGGTGCACGCTTGCCCCCCTGTGCACACACATGCATGCCCACGCCTCAACACCCCCGGGCTCCCTCCCGGCTCTACAGGATGACGGCAGATCCCTGCCAAGCCCCCTCGGCAGCCCCTCAGCAGCCCCCACCCCGCTGCCCCGTCAGACCTCTGAGCCCGCCAGGGGGCCGCCCCCAAGCGCCTGAGGCTCTTGCCTCAGAGCACTGAGCCACGTCCGCCACCCAGGGCGGCGTCACTGCTGTCCCACCTCCTGGACAGGCGGCCGGGGACGCCTGGCCTGCGTGTCCGCCTCGCGCCGGGCCTGGAAGCTCCTGCTCCCTGCGAGCAGAGGGGCCTGCCGGGTCTGCCCGGGTTCGCTTTCCGGCGGCGCTCCCTGCCCGCCGTCGTGGGCACGGGAGTCGGCCAGGCGTCAGCTGCTTGGCGCGGCTTTGCAGGGCCCGTGTCAGGGCGCGCGTGCATCGGCGGAACGAGTGAGCGTGGAGGACGTGCCGGACGAAGCAGCGAGGAGCGCGGGGATCGGGGAAGCCAGCCCGGGCCAGCCCCTGGCCGGGGCAGGTCTGCGGAGGAGAAGCCGCCTTCTGCTCTGCGCGGGGCTCTCCATGCGTCCGCGGGCGGGCGGGGGTCAGGCCTCAGCTGGGACGCCGTGCCTGGTGCCCGCGGCTGCCAGGGGGCCGAGCCCCCTGCTCCGTGCCTCCGTTACCCCTGGTTGTGCACACGTGCCCGGGGGCTGCCTCCGAGGCCTTCACGTTTGCGCCCCTCAGCTCCACCGCGTGCCCTGGAGACCCCAGGCCAGACCTGCTCCAGGAGCAGCGCTGACCCTGCCGAGAGAGGAGCCTCTCCTTCCCCGCCACCCGCGCCCCCGCCCGGCCCGAAGCCAACGCTGACCACCCACCCTCCGGGGTGAGGGCTGGGGCCGGGGTGTCAGGACCCTGCTCTCCCGGGGTCGGTGCCGGGGACGCGGGGGGGCGCCGCCCTGGCTCGGAGCCCCCGCTTCGCCTCTCACCGAGCCGTCCGCCCGCAGATAGCCGAGGGCATGGCCTACATCGAGCGGATGAACTCCATCCACCGCGACCTGCGGGCGGCCAACATCCTGGTCTCGGAGGCCTTGTGCTGCAAGATCGCCGACTTTGGCCTGGCCCGCATCGTGGACAACGAATACACTGCCCAGGAGGGTGAGCCCCCCGCAGCCCGACCCCCCAGGTCCCGGAGCCCCAGAGCGGTGCCCTGGAGCCGGTGGGAGGGAGCCATCCCGGCCGCCATCCCGGCCTTTCCTTGCTTGCTCAGCAGCACCCCACTGCCGAGATCTGCCAGGGAGGAGCTCTGTGACCAAGTCAGCCTGGCCCACGGCTGACTGCAGAGTGCCTGTGGGTGCTGGGGAGCCTCGACTTTAAGCAAAAGGGTGTGTCAGACAAGCAGGCCCCCAACAGCCTGCTTCATCCGGGGTCAGCGCTGGGTTGTTCTCACCAGCGTTATAAAGAAAGGACATGATCCAAGGACCTCCTGTACCCACTCTTCTGAACATATCCCCACTTCTGAGGCACCCACACACTGAGGGCACTGGGGAGCACCCCAGAAAGAAACAGCCCACATTTACTTCCCCCAAAGTCTCCCAAACTCTCTGCTGCTTACCCCCCATGGAACTAGGGTCTCACAGACACACTATAGGAAAGGCTGCTCTGAAATGTGAACACCAAACCTCACACCCCAATCGGGGCTCCCACAAAGCACTCTGCTTTGCTTTATTAGGATAATTGAGGTCAGAATCCTCTTTGCAAGAGGAATTGAAGTGATCAGATGCGTTTAAGCAATATTGGCAAGGTGGGGGTGCCCACCAGCAATGTGGGAGTGCCCGCAAGCAGTATGGGGGTGCCTGGAAATAAGCACTATTAGCAGTGCGCGTGCACCTGTGGCTGAAGGTGAAGCAGCCACGTGGCTCGGGGAACTCAGTGCACGGGGTGGTGGGGGTCAGGAGAAAGCAAGGCGGTGGGGGTGTTCCAGGGCTGAGTTAGGTGGGCCCCAAAGCCGGCCCCTCTGGGGGACCCTGCAGATACAACATTTTATGTCATTTCCTTTTGCAGGAAAAGGGTTTGCTTTTCTTTTGGGGGGCACATAAAGCTTTGGGAGGAAGGTGGAGCGGCTCTGTCCCATGACCTGCCCCTGCGCGAGACGCACGGCGTGTCTGGACGTCCCCCTAGGGCCCCCGGGGCCCGCGGGCAGGGCTCTTGCGTGCTCCCCAGGAAGGTGTCACACTCGCAAGGCTTCCAGATGCCTGGGGGAGGGTGTGCACCTGGCAGGGAAGGCGGAGCCGGGCAGGGTGGTCACCAGTGGCTCCCTGTCACCACACAAGGCCATGAGTGGCCGCTCTCCCGGCCCCGATGGGACACGCGCTGCTCACCAGGGAGCCCCTGGACAAAGACGGAGCACGGACCTTTGTGTCCATCTTGTCCTTTCGTGTCTGCACACGCGGTCGTGTCCGAGGGCCCCGGTGACTCCCTGACCGCATCTCTGGGCATGCGGGGTGCAGGCCTGCCCGCAGCGGGAGGGGTCAGGGAGCACGGCCAGCCAGGCCTCACAGGCCGCCTGCTCTTCCCACAGGAGCCAAGTTCCCCATCAAGTGGACCGCCCCCGAGGCCATCCACTTCGGGGTGTTCACCATCAAGGCGGACGTGTGGTCATTCGGGATCCTCCTGATGGAGATCATCACCTATGGGCGGGTGCCCTACCCAGGTAGCTGGCGTCCTCCTGAGCCCCCCCCCCAACGTGGCCGCTGCCACAGGTGTCAGAGTGGGGTCCCGTGCGTAGAGACCCAGGCGCGCCACTCTGGGCCGGGTTTCTACCCCTTTCTGAGTGGTGCCCCCAGGCAACAGAGCTGTGCCCCTTCCTCCAGGAAGGCCACTGAGCCCCCAAACCTGGCATGGGGGTGAAGGTCAGGGTATGAGCTGAAGTTCACACCTGCCTGGTCTGTCCCCAGCGAGGACGGCTGTGCCTCCATGGCCTGGCACGGCGGATGTCCTCCCGAGAGCCTCATCCTGATAAACCCTCCGGGCCGAGGCACAGCTGCCTGGCAGGGCCCGCTTGTTAGCCGCCGGGCTTGGGCGGAGTGCCCCCTCTCCGTGACAGACACAGGCCATCCCCGGAGGGCCTGCCGGTGGAGGAAAGGTGAACTCCAAGCCTCCCTCCAGCTAGCTCTTCTCCAAGCAGAGAGCAAATTGAGGGTGCTGTAGAGGTGGCACCAGCAGCCCAGCCGGTGACCTGTGCAGGACGACGGGCCGTGCTTTGGGTGGCTAAGCCGCCCCTGGTCCCCTCTACTCCCAGGAATGAGCAACCCCGAGGTGATCCGCAACGTGGAGCGCGGCTACCGCATGCCGCGGCCGGACTCGTGCCCCCCGGAGCTGTACCGCGAGGTCATCGCCGAGTGCTGGCGCAGCAGGCCGGAGGAGCGGCCCACCTTCGACTTCCTGCAGTCGGTGCTGGAGGACTTCTACACGGCCACGGAGCAGCAGTACGAGCTGCAGCCCTAGGCATGCTGGGGACCACAGCACCTCGCCAACTGGGGGGCTCTCCCTCCAGGCTAGCTGGAAAGGCGGACCGGGGCGGGGCGGGCCTACCACTCCCCGCGGCAGGCACGGCCACAGCCGGACTCCGGAGCAGGATCCCTGCAGTCCCAGCCTTCAGGGCTGTGTGCCCTGGGGCCAGTGACTTAGCCTCCCTTGTCAAGGAAGAGGCGCAGTTGTACCTACCTCGTCTGCTCATCACGAGGATGCCATCTAGCCTCAGAGGTTGTTCAGGACAGTGCCCGCACACTCTTCAGGGTTTGTCCTAGTGGCAGGACTCCCCTGTGCAGGCATCACAGGTGGGGGGCTCCGCTGCTCCCACCTTTGCGCACAGCGCCCCTGCAAGGGCGCCCTTTCTGCTAACCCAGAGGCAGGACAGGTGGGCAGCGGGGGGACGCGTTCTCCTGGGGATATGTCCACTGGGGCACGTCCTGCGTCCGCTCTGGGACCAGCTCCAGCACTTTGGGACATTTCTGTAATAAAGTCACAGGATCTGATTTCCGTGTGCGAGCTGGTGACGACCCTGCCAGCCGCAGACCTGGCAAGCATGGCTGGTGTGTGCCAGGGCCTCCCACCACCCGGTGTTGGCGTGGAAAGCGGCCCCGAGGCCCTGGCCGGCTGCACCGACACGCGGGTCGCCGCCTTTCCGGGGAGGGGAGCCGCCAGCAGGTGGCGCCCTCGTCTCAGAAATCTGGGGCTCGGTCTGGGCACAGCCCCAGAGACCCCCCAGGGGCTCCGCACTGCCCACCCACTCGCGTTTGAAGCTTGTGGTTGGCTGGGACGGACTGGTTTGTTTTGGGGCAGTTCCGTTTACAGAAAAGTAAGTGAAAACACCAGGAACCCTGCTCCCCTCCCGCACCGGGTCCTGGGATCGAGCCCTGGCGCTGGTGCGGGTGCGCCTTGGGCCCAAAAGCCAAGACTGACAACTGCCCTGGGCTGAAGCCCCCATCCACACGCGGGCGCACTTAGTGGCCTTCATTCCTAGGCTGGACAAATGGATAAAGGCTCGCGTGCCATTCGGTGTCACCCCAGCGACCCCCCAGGGCTCAGGACTGGGAGCAGAGTTTGGGGCCTGGGGAGCCGCTGGGGTACAGAGGTGAACGGGCAAAGGACACTGTAGCGTGTTTCTTTCTAGAGGCCTTTCCCGGGTCTGGATGGTCAGACAGCCCCGCGGGGAGGGCACCGTGGGGTCATCAGCTCCCTGGCGGGGCCATCAGCTCTCTGCCGGGGCCAGTGCTGGACCCGGGTTGGAGCCCGTTCTGGGCCCCCAGCGTAAGGGAGCCCAGCACTCGGGAGCAGGCGTGTCTGCAAAGGTGGGTCGGGCAGGACCCCACGCAGTTCCCAGCGGGGCCCACATGAGGGCCAGTGGGGTTAGACTGGGGCTTGGACAGGCCTCCTCCAGGCCATCTGGGGTCCCAGACACTGAGCGGGGGGCCTGCCCTGGGGTGACAGGCGCTCCAGAGAAGCCCAAATGCCACATGGGCAGAGGCGCCTCTCGGCCTCCCGCGCCCTGGGTTTCCCTGAAGACTGGGTCCGAGCCGCATCCCGCAGGACGAATGCAGCTTCTCCCACCGGGCGCGCACCTGCCCGGCCGGCGCCTAGAGGCCATGGGGTCTGTCCGGGCTTAGGAGCATGAAGGACCAGGGCCTTGGAGGCCAGCTGGAAGCAACGGCCACCAGCCACCGGGGAGACCAGAGAGACCGACAGAGACGGGGCCAGGCAGAGGCAGAGGCCGAGGCAGGGAGAAACAGAGGGGGCAGAAGCTAGACCCCCGCGGGCCCTCCCTGCCCCTCCCTCCCAGGCCAGGGCTCTCTCCTATCTTGTAAAATGAATGACGGCAAGATCTTTGGGACCCGCTAGCACTTGGGGTTCAAACACAAGCTCTTCTTCCCCAGCACGGGACAGGGCGCTGTGCTGTCTCTGCCCGTTTCCGGTTACCTGTCCCCCGCGTTGCAGGCGTGCGGGCTGAGACGCCACGCACGCTCCTCCCAGCAGGCGCGCTTAGCCTGAGATCCCAGCCCCAGAGACTTCGAAGACCTGAACCCCTCCACCACCCCTCACCGTTCCCCGGTGCCGGGAGGGTCCTCCGGGCCGGGGCTCTGCTGTCCGGAGGGGGTGCTGGGAAGGGAGGGGGACAGAGAGCCCCGCACCTTGCACCCGCGTGGCCTCCAGCAAATGGCCCCAGAGCCTCGAGGTCAGCAGGGAGCAGGGCTCCGGCAGTGTTAGGGAATCAGACGTTGGATCGCCCTGGGCCATAGCAGGGAGCCCTCGGGTGGGGCTTCCACACACAGCGCTTCTCGCAGCTCTGGAGGCTGGGGGTCCGCATAAGACCAGGAGGCTGCTCCCCCTCTTCCGTCTGTCTCCATTTCCAGCCAGCAGCTTGTTCCTAGGCTGGCAGACGCCGGCCTCCTCGAGGGGCTCCCTGTGCACTGGGGCCTGAGAGCCCCTGGAGCAGGGCCCCCCAACAGCTGTGTGTCATTCCCATTCTGAGGTCCTAGGGGTCAGGATTTCAATAGAGGAATTTGGGGGTGCAATTCAGACCGGAACAGACAGCGTCATCAGAGGCCCAGCACACATTGCCCGGACTCGAGTGTCCCCAGACCTCACGTTTTCGGGGTTTCTAACAGTGGAAAAACACGTGACATAACGTGTGCCATTTGGGCCTGCTTAGGGCCCCGCCCCAGTGGCGTGACGCACTCGCCGCCGTGCAGCGCCCCACCGTAGCCCTCCGGAATTTCATCTTCCCAAAGCGAGGCTGTCCCCGGGGAGCCCTCGGTGCCCCCGCCCCCAGCCCGGGACCCCACTCTGCTCTGTGTCTGTGAACTTGATCTCACACAGGGGGGACTTGGCGGCTGCTCCTTGGGCTTCTTTCACCTGCGTCACGTGCGTCCCCAGCCGGAGGTGGCAGGTGGCAGAACGTCCTCCCCGCGCAGCCAGACACTGAACAGCCGCCGCGCGGACAGACGCGCCGGGTCCTCGCTGCTCTGCCCGTGCTGCTGCTTCTGCCACCTTGGGCCCCGCTGCTGCGACGCGGGGTGCAGTACCTAGGGACCCCATTGGGAGACTGTCCCTCTGTCCCTTGTGAGGAAACCCCTGACTCTGCCCAGTGGCTGCTGAGGACACCAGGCGGGTTTCGTGCTGGCCTGGGGGGAGGAGCTGGGCAGAGAGCACAGGTGCTGGGCAGTCTCGGGTGCTGGGGGGCCTCCAGCTGACAGGTCTGCCTGGGCCGGGGGGCCTCAGGCACTGGGGGGCCCCGACTGAGAAGGGAGGGACAGTCCCCACAGCCCTCTGCAGGCAAGTCAGTCACAGCTCGCCTGACGCCAGCCAGAGACCTAAGAATAGCCTCGGGGAGTGTGCAGGAGATAGTGGGGGACGGTGGAGTCCGTGGGCAATGGTCGCAGCACATGGAAAGTGTCTAGCTGGCCCGGTAGCGACTGTGACCGCCGGTCCCGAGCGGCCCAGAGGGACTCAGCCATGAGGGAGACGCCCCAGCTCCCAGGGCCCCGGAGCACAGGCGCCCTGGTTGGGGAAGCAGGACTTGCGTCCCGGGGCTCGCGGGCAAGGAGCTGAGCAGCCCTTGTTGTGTGCCAGGTGCTGCGTGGCGCTTTGCGTGGACAACCTCTCCTGGCCCGCGCCCCCTCAGAAATGGGTGATTCTAATCCCACTTTGTGGGTGAGAAAGGTGAGATCCTGAGAGAGAGCACCTGCCCAGACCACACAGCAGCGACGCCCCGGGAGGGGTCCCCCAGGGAGGCTTCCCTGCAGAGGGAGGCCCCGGTCCGGCCGACGCGCCCGCGGCCGGCTCCCTGACTGGTGGGAGGCACCAGGTGGTGTTCGCGCTTCCTGCCGGTGCTGGCTCTTTCCGGCTGTGGAATCTCTGGCAAAGCCTTTGACCTCTCGGACCTCAGTTTCATCTCTTTAAATCGGACGCAGGCAAACCTCCCTCGGCGGCGCCGGGGGCCGGGAACTGAGGGAATGGACAGAAAGCTCCGGGAGCAGGACTCGAGACGTGGGCGCGCCCTTCCTCGGCAGAGGCCCCGGTCAGGCGGCGTCTTCCTGGGGTCACCGGGGAGTCGCCTGCCGGCCCTGCTCCCCCACCACCCCTCTTCCATCTGGCTCCATTTCCAGCCGGCAGCTTGCCCTGGGCCACCAGCAAACCCGGGGAGGCAGAGGCTGACAGGGGCTGATGGGAGCCAGTCCCGGGGGGCCTGAAGGCAGATTACCCAGGACTGATGAGGTGCGGAGGCTCTGCCTCCGGCCAGCGAGCTGACAGCCTCCCGGGAGAAAGGCAGGAGGGCGGGGGAGGACCCTAGCCTCAGCCTGATGGCACCTAGGAGCAGGGCACCAGCCGGAGCTAGAGACAACATGTGTGTGCCAAGGCCACGCTGGGCACCTCGGTTAAAATTAGCCTCCTGCGCCTCTCTTTGCCCCAGTGCCCTGTCCCGGGAGCCCCGGGGCCTGGCGTGCAGTGGCGGGTGGGGCTGCGGACCCTCCCGGAGAGGAGCCCAAGCCTTGTGTGCCGCCTGCAGGCTGAAGGGGGTGCCGGGCCGGCGTGCCTGCACAGTGTCTCCCCACCCCAGGCGTGAGCGAGGAGACGTAATCACAGAATGTTCCAGATGTTGTGGCTGACATCATTCCTGGACGGTGGCATTTCTCTCTCGCCTCCAGGGCTCCCAGGCGACATCATTGCCGCCTTCATTTCTAGCGCCCGGCACTAAACAGCAGCCCCCACCCCCGGTGAGGAGTCAAACGTGCAGGTGTCTGAGTCCCGGGACCCACATGCTCCCCGGGTCCGCGCACAGGTGAGAAGGTGGCCAGCGGGTCCCGGTGTTCAGGGGGCTGTGACTGTGCCCCCAAATCCCTGCCCCGCTCAGCCCCTGGAACACAGCGCATGTCGGTGGACATCTGCCACCTCCAGGGCTGGAGGGGTCCCGTCACACGGACAGCGAGGTCTGAAGCAAGCCCCCG